CAACACGTTCTGTTCTAATGCTGTCAATCAGTTCTTCTGTGAAATCCCAAAATTATTGAAGCTCTCCTGCTCTGACTTCTACTTAGTTGAGGTTGGGCTTCTTGTTCTAACCTTTAGTATAGGAACAGGGTGTTTCATATTCATTATCATAACATATATGCAGATCTTTTCCGCAGTGCTCAGAATCCCTTCTGTTCAGGGTCAGAAAAAACTCCTCTCCACTTGCCTTCCTCACCTCACGGTTGTATCTGTGCTTATATTCACTGGGATCTTTGCTTATGCAAAGCCTCCAAATGACGCTTCTTTTGATCTCGATATTGCTTTTGCTGGAATATATACCATTATTCCCCCCACACTGAATCCATTCATCTACAGCATAAGAAACAAAGAAATCAAGACTGCATTGTGGAAACTCTTAGATTTGGGGCCTTCTAAAACTCAATTTAGAGTTCTCTAAAAATGCAATTCTATACCCTTCAATGTGTGAGCATTTTGATATGCAATTTTTTATTTTTTTATTTTTTATTAATTTTTTTAATATGCAATTTTTTAACCCAGAATTGTAACCTTTGATAAAATAAATCCTTTGAATTCAAACGGCATGGGAAGGAATTGTTTCCTGTTTTCAAGCCCTAGAGAGCCACTGAAAGCCATTGTAGGCATTACAGAGCTAAATGGACAAATATTCTCATTCAGAATATTGCAGTTTTGGTATGTTAATATTTGGCTCTGCAATTTTTTACCTTGAACTTGGTAGAACATCTGCTTTGCATGTTGATAATCCCTGCCATCTCCAGGGATGGATCATCTGCTATGGATGCAGAAAGTTCTCAATTTAACCCTGGCATCTCCAAATAGAGGCAGGAATGATGCCCTGTCTGAAGAGAGTTTACCGTGCTCCTAATTCTGTGATACATATTTCCCTCCCACCCGGTTTCCCCACGAAATTCTCCATGTCATTCATTGTCATTTCACCCTATTTTTAAAATTGTTTATTTCACTTACAACTGACATAAATACAGCCAACCTGCCATTTACAGACTTTCAATCTGTGCTCAACCTCACAAAAGTGCATCACACCGAACCCAGAAGTGACCTAAAAATGTCACAGAAAGGGGTGGAAAGAGGTGTTTACAGGCTTTTTCAATGATGTTTCAAATACACATTATTTTGCTTAAACTCGTGGTGCGTTCAGACGTAACCCCCACTTAATGGGGGTTGCCTATATAGAAGAATCAAAGGTAACGAAAATTCATTCTAAAAAGAAAAAGTGTTTAAAACGTGTAATTTTCCCATCAGAATTTTCAGTTTTACTGTAGTGTAGACAGAATCAGACGTTTTGATTGTGATCATTCTAAATTATAAAACTTATTTTTTTGGTAAAATAATATATGATGCTGCAATCTTCCTTCTCTTATTTTGATAATATTAATTGCTAGAAACATTTCCCTTGCCATATTTCATCTTCCCATCAGTCACCCTGGAGTCACCGCTCTCAGAGATACTGCTGTCAAAAACCCAGCTACCCTTGCAGTTACTTCCAGGCTAACATAATTAACAGGAAACTAAAACATTATCTTAAAGATTTCAAAATAAAACATTACCAAAGAAAATAAAATGCACATTTAAAACAGCACAATTAGGAAGATAATATTATCATAGATACCACGCTCTCTGTATCCAGTATCCAGTATCCCGTATCCAGTAACTAGTTGTAATTGCACACTCTAACCACGATGTGCATTCCCTGATGAACCAATTTATCATAGTTGATTCTTCCATGAAATAATCCATCATGGAATGTGGTATTCTGCCCCCACACCCCGTTCACACAAACTCTCACCTTCGCATTTTTCCAGCACTTTTATTACAGGTAATCCTAATGTGCAGTTTGCACATTATGGTCAAATATGCAAACATTATAAACTAACTAACTAAATAAATAAATCATACCCTCACAGCAAGCTCATGAAGTACATTAGACTGAGAGGCAGTGACTCAGTGAGTTTCATAAGCTGGGTGAAGGGGATAATCTTTTCCTACAGGTCTGGAAATTTATTGGATTTCTTGTTAGCAGTCCTATGTAGCACTTTTAAGATTCACCAATTCAGTTTGCTAACCTGTACATACTTATCACAGCTCATTGGCCACTTGTTCATGACATTTTACAAGTCTCACTAGGTCCAGTGAGCACCAGCTGCCACTGACAGAGCCTGTTATATTCAAAACTATATTATGTATGGATCAAAGAGAGGCAGGTCCTATCTGTAGCTGGTTTCCACAGTAGATATAACACATTAGATCAATGTGTTGTTTTTCCTTATCTTATTCAAAAGTATGTTAGCAACAAACAAACAAAACCCTGGGTACTGTATTAATTGGTCTAACTCTCGTTTGCCTTTGACTCCATTGACCAACAGTGTCTATGGATGAGGTTGGAGGACTAGTTGCATGCCCAGCCACAAAGTCCCCGCCCCCAGGGATCCTTAGGGTCCATAGCAAAACACTCCTCCTCCTCCTCCTCCTCCTCCTCCTCCTCCTCCTCCTCCTTTATATACCGCTCTATACCCAGAGATCTCAGGGCAGTTCAGAGATTCGGAAACCCAAACATTGGGGGGGGGGCTCTATGGCCCACTGGCCAACCACTTCTGGCTCTATATGGACAGAGACTTCCCCCTCAAGACCCCTTTAACAGGGTACCCTGTAAATGCCGCTGCTGTTAATATAACAGGCTCTGTCGGTGGCAATTGGTGCTCATTGGACCTAGTGAGGCTTGTAGAATGTCATGAATGAGTGGCCAATGAGCTGTGATAAGTATGCACAGGTTAGCAAACTGAATTGGTGAATCTTAAAAGTGCTACATAGGACTGCTAACAAGAAATCCAATAAATTTCCAGACCTGTAGGAAAAGATTATCCCCTTCACCCAGCTTATGAAACTCACTGAGTCACTGCCTCTCAGTCTAATGTACTTCATGAGCTTGCTGTGAGGGTATGATTTATTTATTTAGTTAGTTAGTTTATAATGTTTGCATATTTGACCATAATGTGCAAACTGCACATTAGGATTACCTGTAATAAAAGTGCTGGAAAAATGCGAAGGTGAGAGTTTGTGTGAACGGGGTGTGGGGGCAGAATACCACATTCCATGATGGATTATTTCATGGAAGAATCAACTATGATAAATTGGTTCATCAGGGAATGCACATCGTGGTTAGAGTGTGCAATTACAACTAGTTACTGGATACGGGATACTGGATACTGGATACAGAGAGCGTGGTATCTATGATAATATTATCTTCCTAATTGTGCTGTGTTAAATGTGCATTTTGCATTTGATTTCCTTTGGTAATGTTTTATTTTGATATCTTTAAGATAATATTTTAGTTTCCTGTTAATTATGTTAGCCTGGTAGTACAGTGGTACCCCGCAAGACGAACGCCTCGCGAGACGAAAAACTCGCAAAACGAAAGGTTTTTTCGTTTTCGAGTTGCCTCGCAAGACGAATTTCCCTATGGGCTTGCTTCGCAAAACGAAGCTTGCCCCGGGGACAGCGGGTCTTCTCTTTTGAAGCAAGGGGCGGCGGGGAGATCGCTTCTTCTGAATGCGGGCGGGGGGCGAAAGTCTTTGTCCCCCCTGCCTGCCTTCCCAGGGGCTTTTAAATCGCCCCGGACAGCGGAGAAGTCCTCTGCTGTCCCGGGGCGATTTTAAAATGCCGCCCGCCAGCATTTTAAGATCGCCCGGACAGCGGAGAAGTCCTCCGCTGTCCCAGGGTTTTTTAAAATGCTGGGGGTGGGAAGAAAAGCCCTTGTCCCCCCCCCCCCCAGCCTTCAGAAGAGGTCCGGGGACAGTCTGTCCCCGGACCTGGTCTGAAGGCGGTTTCCCTAGGAACGCATTAATTGATTTTCAATGCATTCCTATGGGAAACCGTGCATCGCAAGACGAAAAAACCGCAAGACGAAGAGACTTGCGGAACGAATTAATTTCGTCTTGCGAGGCACCACTGTAACTGCAAGAGTGGCTGGGTTTTTGACAGCAGTATCTCTTAGAGCGGTGAATGGCACTATTTAGTGGAAAGAAATCCCAATGGACTGAGCCAGAGGTGGATCCTAACAACCCCAGAGGTAGAGGCAGTCTCCAGGGTGACTGATGGGAAGATGGAATATGGCAAGGGAAATGTTTCTAGCAATTAATATTATCAAAATAAGAGAAGGAAGATTGCAACATCATATATTATTTTATCAAAAAACAAGTTTTATAATTTAGAATGATAATGTATGATTCTGTCTACACTACAGTAAAACTGAAAATTCTGATGGAAAAATTACACATTTTTCAACACTTTTTCTTATTAGAATGAATATTTGTTACATTTGATTGCTCTATATAGGCAACCTCCATTAAGTGGGGGTTACGTTCCTAGGTACTGTGAGTTTAACCCTGGATAAATTCCTGGAACCCCTGGAATCTCACACCACTCAGATATTGGAGTAGCAAGCAAAAATATAATAAAATTGATAATTATTTTGGGGACATACATTTTATGCTTTTGAACTTTCATTTTCTTACTAAAGGCATTGGAAATAGTATTTGCTGATACAGTTACAGTATATCTAATTGTACTATACTTGTATCAGTAGTAAGTAAAACACATTTTTGGGGGGAGAAGGGTGAAGAGGATGAACAAATGGCAATGAATGGCATGGAGAATAAGGTGAATAAATTATAAGACTATTTGCATTGCAGAGTGAGCAACACAGGAAGTTACTTTATACTGAATCAGCCCATTGGTCCAATTAGCTCAGTATTGTTGACACTGATTGGTAGTGGCTCCCTATGGCTTCAGATACGGAACCATTCATTCCTCCACCTGCAGATGCCAGGGGTTACAGCAGGAACTTCCTACATGCAAAGCAAATGTCCACCCCAAGGTTCTAGTGCTAGGTTAAAAACTGTACATCAAAACATTCACATTGAATATACAATCCCATTTTTAAAAACTCAAAATATATTTTTAGAAGAATGCCCATAATCTAAGAGTTTCCACATAGCAGTTTTTATTTCCTTGTTTCTCATACTGTAGATGAATGGATTCAATGTGGGAGGAATGATGGTATAGACCACAGCAAAAGCTATGTCCACATTAGAAGCAGCATCTGTGGGTGGCTTTGCATAAGCAAATACTCCAGTGAACATAAACACAGAGACAACCATGAGGTGAGGCAAGCAAGTGGAAAGGGCCTTTTTCTGACCATGAACAGAAGGGATTCTACGCACTGTAGAAAAGATTTGAATGTATGTTATGATGATGAAAATGAAGCAACAGAGCCCTATACTCCATCCTAGCACAAGAAACCCAACTTCAACTAAGTAAAAGTCAGTGCAGGAAAGCTTCAGTAACCTTGGGATTTCACAGAAGAATTGATTGACAGCATTAGAACAGAAGGTGTTTGCAAAGGTGCAACCAGCATGTAGGGTGGCATTAAGAAGACTGATAATCCATACAATGGCTACCATCCGTATACAGGCTCCTCTGTTCATAATTAACTCATATTGGAGTGGGTTGCAAATAGCAACATTGCGGTCATGTGCCATTATAGTTAGGAGGGCAAGATCTGATGTTCCAAATAAATATGAAAAAAAGACTTGAGCAACACATCCAGAATAAGACATGAACCTGCTGTTTAAAAGAGAAATAGCCATCGATTTGGGTACCATGACAGAAATTGTTCCAAGGTCCATCATGGCCAAATTCATGAGAAAGAAGTACATGGGGGTGTGAAGGTGGTGATCGAAGACAACTACTACAATAATGAGAAAATTCCCCATTATTGCCACCGAGTACAACAATAAGAAAACAAAAAAGTGCAAGATCTGTAGTTCTCGAATGTCTGAGAATCCCAACAGCAGAAATGTAGACACGGAGGTAAGATTGGACATTTTATTCACACAACGTGTTCACACATTACCTGTACAAGGAAGAAGATAGGATTGTTTGTTTATAAATATTTATTAACCCGTTTAATTTAAACAAAGTTCCTTTAAACAGTCAAATCCACCATGCATTCTATGCTTTCCCCCTCGGATTGTCACTGAACCCCCCCCCCAGCACCTATTTGAAATTTGTGCATGGTGTGGGGAGGCTAGCATAGCCTTCAAGTGTCACAATTTTCCCAGGACACTCCTGGAATTACAGAAGTCATTTTGGCTTCTCATTTTATCCAGGATTGTCCAAATTGCTCCCAGCAACACTGATTTTCAACTTGCATTGTGAGCTTTCTTGCAAGGCAGTTTTGTTTACTCAGAACAATCTGCATGTCCTTGCATGTGACCTATACAATATTAAGAGTTAAGAGCACAACACATATCATCAAATAATTTCAGAGTTGTGTGCTCAAAATCAATCTACTTCTTTTAGCCAAAATAAATGGCAGGTTACTATTATACCCATTATATATATGTGCTCCTGAGTCTGGCAGTGGCTTGCAGCAGCACCTGGGTAAGAACTGGAATTGGAGCTCGTATAAACTGACTTTGTTATCACTATGCACACATGCACATGCTTTTAATTTGGGATAATTTGCAGCAGGCCTGCACAAATTAGGTAACCTCCGTAAATTGAAGACAGAACACGCAGTATGAACAGAGGCTCCCTGAAGGTTTGGTAGGTCGGTTTCTGCTTGGGACTGCAAAAATAAGGGATAGGAAAATCAAATATTTCACTGTTAATTTTCTGGCTTATTATATCATGAGCTCATACCCTCCCTTCCTATTGACTTGTGCCTTACCCCATGTGTACAGGCACTTAGGCAAGCGGTGAAGACCTTTATGTTTAATGCTACCTTTAACTTAGGTCATAATTGGGTTTTACAGGACAGCTTCTTAAAGTATGTTGTATGTTTGGTCATGTAGCTATTATACCTTTATATCTTGCCTTGCTCTTGTTTGTATGTCGCATTGTGAGGGCATGGTCCTAAACAGCTTATAAGAATACAATGAGTTAATACAGGGCAGGGCACCTTGTACACACTGCCCTAACCTCCCAACCTCACTGCCGCTTCACCAATCCCCAGCATTTGCTGCTTGAGGTGTTCACTTGACTTTGTCTAATGGGCATGGGGTGGAATGACACTTATGTAAACAGAATATTCCTAGTTTCATATGAGGAATGTTGGAGGGTATAGACTATACCCCCTCAATCCTTCTTCTAATATCTGTGCGTTTGATGGAATATCCAAAAGAGAAGCCTACATACACATACATGTACATAAGAGCTCACCACACAGTATTGGTTTTGCGGTTATTACTGTCACATGAATAATAAAATACTTATATCGTCTTTTATAACTTGGCTTGTGCACTTCCATTTTTGTCACAATTTCCCATTCAATGTGGCGTACCAGATCTCACAATTATACAACTATAATGAATGTATTGGGTTGGACTCACATTTAGTCATATACTTGCAACAGAACCTCTGCAGTCAATGGGTCTACTAATAGCATCACCAAGTCTGGATTTAATCGAACAAAATTATAATCCAGTTAGAAAAAGTTGGAAAGCAATTGAAATACCTTCAAGTGTAAAATTCATAGGGTTATGATATGCTTCAGATGAGAGAGCCCATGTACCTTCTCAACCAAGCACTTTCAACCTTCCCTTGGCACTTACCCCCAAACATGTAACCGAGTATTTTTTCCCTTTAAAAAAGACAGCATATTTAAAGGTAATAGTCACTAAATGTAGCATCAGCTCTTAGTGCCAGCAGGCATGGGAGGGAGTGTTAGTTAATTCTGTTTAGGCATCTTGGGATCCTGCTCCCAAGAGTGCAGCAGAGCTGATCTGAATCCTCAAGGCAATTTTGCTGCTCCGACTTTGGTAGTAGAAACAAACAAACAACAACAGATACAACATGTGCTTCAGTACATGAAAAATGATCACTCTATGGCTATTTATTTAGTTATATCCAAATACTGTAGCCATTTCTAGATAGAGATAGGCTTTCCCAAACTATCCATTTCCTGGTTACATCCTGGCTGAATTGCTATATTGCATTATACATGGGGCTGCCCTTCAATATGACTCATTTAGTGCAAAACCTGGCTGCAATAATTCTAACTGAAGAGAATTCTAACTACCATTCTATTTTTTATTTTTTATTTATTTATTTGCTGTCATGTGCCTCTATCTGCAATACATTTCCAGACCTATCAGAAAAGATTACTTCCATCCCCCCAGTTTACTCACTTCTATGTCATTTTTCCAGTATGTGGGGGGGGGAAACGGAGGAATATTGAGTGGAGTAGGATGTGAGAGACCAGGGATAAAATCAGTCATAAAACATATTGTGTGACTTTGGGATAGTCAGTCCCAGACTGACCTATCTGATCCAGTTGCTGTAGGAATAACCTCTGTTTATTTGTTTCATTTAACAAAGTGTATATACCACTTGATTGTAATAAAGCCTCCACATGGCTAACAAGAAATATATAATTATTAATAAAAACAGTTAAAAACAGTTTCTTTTCTTTTTTTAGTCCTAAATTACCGGTATGTGGCACCTGTAACATTGCCAGTTCCACAGACGAAAACAGTCAGATGGGCATAAATGGGGTATAGCAAGCTTACAAGTAAACTGATCATCTCAAGCCTTCACAGTATAGTACATGTGGAATGGCCTCTATTAATGAATGATGAGGTATGTGGTCAGTAATTGTTCCTTGTATTTTTCTTTTAGTATCCAGTTGGTTCCTGTCATTCAGGGTGTTCATATACATTAGACATGATGGTTGTGTGAACTGGAAAGAGTGGAGATGCTAAAGATTTGTTGTGTTAATGTTCTGCATAATGTTCTGCACATCTCTGTCGTAAAAGCATATAATCATTTAATATTTTGCTTAGTAATTTCTGAATGTATAAATTTTATCATATTGTCACCCCAATCTCCAAGCAGTCCTGTGCCATGATGTGTGAAAATTTGCTCTGCATAAGTGCTATCTGCACATGAAGGGAACTGTCTCCCTGGGTCAATGGGGGGGGTGCTTGTGTTCTTGTTCTCTTTTTATGATCAGTGTGTGTCCATGTCTTGTGTGCTGCATGTCTGCCGGTGTGTGTAGTATGAGTATAATAGACTAAGAGTGGAGACCCAGTTCTGGCATGCAGCTCTTGGAGGGATAATTTATCGCGAACACAACCCACTGGACAACAAAAGTTCAAATTAGATGGTTCTACTAATCAATATTATAAAACAATAGAAAGAAAATTGCCAGATGACATTTTTATGCAAAAATAAATTTTATAGTATTGTAGAATGATCAAGAACCAAATGCCCCACAAGGTCATGTTCTGTTCAGAACATTTTGGGAAAATGATACATTTTATGTTCTTCAACTTTCTTTTTCTAACTAAATGTTTACATGGAATATTTGTTAATATGGTTACATTCGATTGTCGTATACATGTATCACTTGTGAGTGAAATACACTGTCTTGAGAAGATGGTGAAATGCGTGATCAATTGACGATGAATTATATGAAAAATGAGGTGGAGGAATTATGGAATGATTTGTATCACAGATTCAGGAACAGAACAAACTGGTTTACACTTATTTCACTGGGTCCATTTAGTTCAGTATTGTCAGCACTGACTGGCAGTAACCCTCTATGACTTCAGACGTGGAATCATTATCCCCCAGCCAGGACTTGCCAGGGGTAAAGGCAGGAACCTCCTGCATGGAAAGCAGATACTCTACCAAAAGTTATGTTGCTGGGTTAAAAATGGCATTGCCAAACTTTAACATATAGAACAGTATACAACACTATTTTTATAGAACAGTTTCCACAAAGCAGTCTTAATTTCTTTGTTTCTCATACTGTAAATAAATGGATTTAATGTGGGAGGAATTATGGTATATATCACAGCAAAAACTATATCTAGATCAGAAGAAGAATCAGTGGGTGGCCTTTACGTAGGCAAAGGCACCAGTGAACATAAGCAAAGAGACAACAGTGAGGTGGGGAATGCAAGTGGAGAGGGCTTTTTTCTGACCATCTACAGAAGGTATTCTGAGCACTGTAGAAAAGATCTGCATGTATGTTATGATGATGAAAATGAAGCATCCTACTGATATAATAAAGGCTATCACAAGAACCCGAACTTCAACTAAGTAAAAGTCGGAGCAAGAGATCTTCAGTAATTTTGAGATTTCACAGAAGAACTGATTGACAGAATTACCACAGAAGGTATTGCCAAAGGTGCTCCCAGTATGTAACATGGCAGCAACAAAGCCTGTGATCCACCCAATGGCTACCATCCGTATACAGGCTCCTTTGTGCATAATTGTCTCATATTGCAGTGGTCTGCAAATAGCAACGTAACGGTCATGTGCCATTATAGTTAGGAGAGCAAAATCTGATATTCCAAATAAATGTAAAAAGAAAACCTGAGCAACACATCCAAAATAAGAAATTAACCTGTTGTTGTAAAGGGAAATAGCCATTGATTTGGGCACCATAACTGAAACTGTTCCAAGGTCCATGATGGCCAAATTCATTAGAAAGAAATACATAGGGGTATGAAGGTGGTGATCAAGGACAATGACAATGACGATTAGAAGATTCCCTATTATTGCCATCAAGTACAAGGCTAGGAACACGAAGAAGTGCAAGATCTGTAGTTCTCGAATATCTGAGAATCCCAGCAGCAGAAATGCAGGCATGGAGGTAAGATTGTGCATTATGTTCGCAGCACTTATCCACATGTTACCTGTACAAGCAAGAGGATAAGGACTATTAGTGTACAATTATTGATTCATCAATGAGCTGCTTTGATCTAGAAATCAAGTCCACCAAATATTCCTTTGCATAATCAGCAATAATTGTTGTCCCCTCTGTTTTCTCATCAGATAATCCCTGTCCACTTGTGCCCCCCCCACACCATTTGCAAATGTAGGCAAGGTGTGGTGAGTCTATACTCCCTAAAATCCTTCCCCTGGCATCTATGCATTCAGTGAAGCATCAGAAAGGGAAGTTACAAGCATACATTTATATGTGCATAAGAGCTCACCAATCAGTTGCTGGCTCCAATTTTGCAGGGTGCCAGATAAGGTGGACAGACTAAAGACACACAATGTACACAATATATATTGACTGGGTGGAAGTCCTAGTCTAATATGGATTTTTTTAAAAACACAACTGGTGCAAACATTTCTTCAGCCAGCTAATATCTACAAATAGTTCATCAGAAATCTGCCTATGCCCTGTGAGCAATATACTGTTGGGAGACTGATTTTAATCTGAGACCACTTCTTCCCTACTGGAGATGGGTGGGTATGTGGAATCACAATTTGCAGTATTCTTGGATTTGTTATGTTTCCAGCTTAAATGTACAAAGATACTTGAGTGTTACCACCTTATCTTCCGAGTCTGATTCTGATACATTCCACAGATATAGGAATGCCAGTTAATGTAACATGCTTGTATTATTTTTCTTTCAATTCATGAACCTCAGTTCTGAGAAATTGTTTAGGTCAAAATGCAGTGTAAGCAGTGCTTTTTTCTAAAAAAAATGTTTGGGGTACTCTCATTTTCCTACTCATATTGAAATACTGCCCCTCAATGAGGCCAAACTTAGATTCACAAAATGTTTAGGGGTATGCGTACCCATGCATCTCCCCCCCCCAAGAAAAGCACTGAGTGTAAGAGTGTAAGAGTAACATGCAGAAAGATGTAGGTGTGGTGATGAAGAATGATGCGAAGAAATAAGGAGTTACAGTTTTCTTGCCACAGGTATTGTTAAGTTCACAACTAAAAACCACCCCAACCACTTACCTATTCCTTTTAAAACAGTTTCAGCCTGGGTAAGTGAAGTTTTTCATTTCACTACTATAGGCCATGACTACTCAGACATTCATTGAGACATCTGAGATGATTTCTTCTTCTTCTGGCACATGCCAGAATATTGTGTAACAGATATATTTATAAACCGGTTTTTAAAAGGTGTGTGTGTTAGAAGGAGCATAATTGGATATGTGCTTTGGCATTGTGGCAAATTGCTCCCATGAGTCCAAAACAGTTGATCAGAACCAGAACTCCCCAATTATTGTTTCCTCTGTTTCTGTCACAAATGTAAGCAACTAATATATGCTCACTGTCTTATAGAGGATTCCAGATCGCACTGCGTATACAGAGAGGTTTTCCATCTTGGCCCTGGCAGACCTATGTGCACATTGGAACATGAAAAGAGGATTTGCCTGCATATCTATGAATCAATCCATACATGGGTTCCACAATGGTACTTGGAAGATGTCTGAGGACTGCCTTCTTTCTTTCCATGTTTTTAAAAAAAGTTTATTGGATTGCCTGGTAAATTGTCCACCATACAGATAAAACATACTGTTACAAACGTTGGGTGCCTCCCTCTCTCTTTGCTGAGCGGTGGCAGGAGCCCATGGGGTTCCAGGCATTCACTCACAATCTGTGACCACTTATCCCTTAAAGTGGGGATAAATTAAATTAGACATGTTTAAAACAAAACTGGTATTATATTTATACACACCCAATGAGCGTTACAGCTTGATGGTTACTTGGTCAAGCTTGATTTTGGTCAAATTCTTTTTTTACAGAAGTGTTTAAGACTTTTACTTATGACTTTAACAGTGTTCCTAAATCATCTGATTCATCCTAGAATGGCTCTTTGTCCCATCATGCTAGTAAAAACACACAGTGGCGTAGCGTGGGTTGTCAGCACCCGGGGCAAGGCAAGTAATTTGTGCCCCCTAACCCGTGGATTTGCGCCCCATAACCCTAACCCCCAGATGTTGCGCCCGGTGCGGCCGGGCCCCCTGCACCCCCCACGCTACGCCACAACACATCTAGCCCCCCTTTATGATATAATATGTCATAATTGTTTTATAAAATAATCTGGTTTGCCCTGCCTAGCAAACCTCTAGCTGCTCAGCTATTCTCCCATCCAAGCCCTATCTAACACTTTAACTGTCAGGTTTTACCTTTTACTTTTCCACTCCCTCCTGATTGGCTAGCACTGTTGGGATACTACCAGGGAGACAAAAGCCATCATGGCCCCACGCTGTCTCCGGATGATCCATCGACCTCCCATAGAAACACAGTATCAATCAATTAGCGACAAAAGCCTCGGAAATAGCTTTCCACATTCCAAGGACTGATGCACGCTCTATCAGCAGAGTTCGTACAGCGAAAGATGCACTCAAGAGAGCATTATTTACAACTTTATTCAGCGTTGGTCAGAACAAAGAGAAAACATGACTGCCTGCTTCGATGTCCAGGCACAGAGAGAAAACGAAAGCATCTACAAAACAGAAACATCCTGTGAACAGGAAATACGTAGGCTGTGACTCACAACAGCCTGTCTCCTTTTTAAGGTGGAACGGAAATATCCTAACAAGCACTTCACCTTGCTGTGATTGGCTACTGAGTCTTCAGGGGGCTGACCAAAGGAATGTCCACCACACACAGCTTTTCCTGACCTCACTGATAAAAGTACAGTAAAACCATCTTCATCATCATTATGAAGCTTCAAACCATGTGGTTCAACCATTTTTTTACAGTCCAATACCCCCCATCGAAAGGGCCAACTGCACGACTTTGAAGGAGATCTTTGATCCATCATTGTCACTTGGTGACATGGAATGTATTCTGCCAGCTTTGACTGATTACTCAGTCAGATACTTTATTCGGCTATAAGCCCACAAGGTAAAACCAATAAATAACTAAAATAGCATTTTACATTCTAAAATATCAACTAAAATATTTCAACGCATAATCTCCTTCACGTTACATACAATCTCTAGATATACCATATTGTGGCCTTGAATATAAAGATGGTGGATAGAGTTTACTAGATTTTTAATAGTCATGCAGCATTCCATGAAGTCTTTTATATGAGCAATCCATGTTCTGGTTACCTCTTGCTTGAATTGTTGCATTGAATTATACCTAGAAATGAACAGTTGGAAGGGACCTCAATGGCCATATAGCCCAACTCGTTACAATGCAGGAATAACAAGTAAATAATCCCTGACAGGGAGCCATCCAACCTCTATTGAAAAGCCTCCAATGAATAATAGTCCACCACCTTCTGAGGTAGTCGGTTCCATTGTTCAACAGCTCTTACCATCAGAAAGTTCTTCCTAATGTTCAATCAGAATCTCCTTTCTTGTAATTTGAATCCATTGGTTCAGGTCCTACCCTTTGGAGCAGTGAAAAACAAGCTTGTGCCATCTTCCATGTGACAGCTCTTTGGATATTTGAAGATGGCTATAACATTTCAGTCTTCTGCCCTTGAATATTCTAACTGGTTCAACCAGGTGGAGTAATGTTACTCCATTTAAAAGTGGCTGGCAGTGGAGTTTACCTTTAAAATGCTACCCTCCATAGCATCCTGCTTGTCCCTTAAGATTTTTGGTTAAGTCCTTTTGCCTAGTGTTTCCCTCAGCACAGCTGCATTCTGCATGCACTACACTACAAATATATAGATAGTAGAGAGAGAGAGAGAGAGAGAGATGCCCCAGCTCTTCAAGATAACCCTCATAGGTTGCACTACATTCTTTTGTTTGTTCTGGCATTTTAAAGGGTTAAAGTGCATCTGTCTGTTATCAGTATCAAAGATCATTTGTTGCCGCTCAGGATGATGTAAATTACATTTCAAAATGCTATTGTATTGTATTGTATTTGCCAACATACCAGGAAGAAGAATCAACACAACCAAATGTGAATAAATAGGTTGTACTTTGTACTTTGGTTGTCAAACGAAATCCATTCCGGAAGTCTTTTCAACTTCCAAAAAAGTTCGACAACCAAGGTGTGGCTTCCAGTTGGCTGTAGGAGCTTCCTGCACTCAATCGGAAGCCATGGAAGCCGTGCCGGACATCCAGCTTCCAAAGAACATTCACAAACTGGAACACTCACTTCTGGGTTTGCCAGGTTCGGGAGCCAAAATGTTTGAGTCACAAGGTGTACGAGGTGTACGAGATCCAAGGTACGACTCTATTTATGAAATATAACAACTTGAGGATCTGCAAAATTCTCAAGATGCACAGGAAAGCAACAAGTGACACTGAAGGAGGACAGAGAAATTCATTTATAAAAATGTTTGCTGAAAAGTGAAATGTGTATAGCACTTGTGTTAAAAAGTGCATCCACACACATAAAAGCATGCAAACTTATTTTTAAATAATAACTCTGAAAAATGTTTTAAAGGAATGTCCAAGATCTAAGAGTTTCCACAAAGCAGCCTTGATTTCCTTGTTTCTCATACTGTAGATGAATGGATTCAGTGTGGGAGGAATGATGGTATAGACCACAGCAAAAGAGATATCTGTATAAGAAGAAGCATTACTGGGAGGCCTTGCATAGGCAAAGACTCCACTGAAGAGAACCACAGAGACAACAGTGAGGTGGGGAAGGCAAGTGGAGAGGGCTTTTTTCTGACCATGAACTGAAGGGATTCTGAGCACTGTAGAAAAAATCTGAATGTATGTTATGATAATGAATATGAAACAACCTAGTCCCACACTCCAGCTCAGCACCAGGAATCCAACTTCAACTAAGTAGAAATCAGAGCAGGAGAGCTTCAGTAATGTTGGGACTTCACAGAAGAACTGATTGACAGCATTAGAACAGAAAGTGTTTGCAAAGATGCTACCTGTATGTAACATGGCAAAAAGAAGGCTCGTAATCCACAGAGTGGCCACCATCTGAATACAGGCTCCTTTGTGCATAATTGTCTCATAGTGGAGTGGGTTGCAAATAGCAACATTGCGGTCATGTGCCATTATAGTTAAGAGGAAAAAATCTGATGTCCCAAATAAGAAATAAAAGAAAACTTGAGCAACACATCCGGAGTAAGAAATTGACCTGCTGTTTAGGAGGGAAATAGCCATTGATTTGGGTACGATGACTGAAATTGTTCCAACGTCCATCATGGCTAAATTCATCAGAAAGAAGTACATGGGTGTGTGAAGGTGGTGATCAAGGACAAATGCAATGACAATGAGAAGATTTCCTATTATTGCCATCAAGTACAAGGCTAGGAACACAAAGAAGTGTAAGATCTGCAGTTCTCGAATGTCCGAGAATCCTAGCAGGAGAAATGCAGACACGGAGGTAAGATTGTGCATTATGCTCACAGGACTTGTTCAGATACTTGCTGTGCAAATAAGAAGGAAATAACTGTTAATATACAAATGTTGATTTATGAATTTAATTTAACCAAGATTCCTTTAATCTAGCAGTCACATATACCAGATAGGCAAATGTTATTATGGGCTCTTTGTTCCCTTGGTATTGTCACGAAAGTACTACTGTCCTTTCATTTTCCCTTTCCACCTTCACGTTTGTTGTAAGATGCTTTCCCATCCCCAGTCTTTAAGTGGTTAATGGCTTTCACCTCAGTCATCAAAATGTTTGGATCAACCCTGGTTGACTGGGTTGCAATTGTAGCCTAATCTGGATTTGTGTGCCCAAATACAGTGGTACCTCGGGTTACATATGCTTCAGGTTACATATGCTTCAGGTTACAGACTCCGCTAACCCAGAAATAGTACCTCAGGTTAAGAACTTTGCTTTAGGATGAGAACAGAAATCGTGCGGCGGCGGCAATGTGGCAGCAGCGGGAGGCCCCATTAGCTAAAGTGGTCTTCAGGTTAAGAACAGTTTCAGGTTAAGAACGGACCTCCGGAACGAATTAAGTACGTAACCAGAGGTACCACTGTACAGCAGAAAAAACTGATCCAATAAAATTTATTCAGTCAACTAAGTCCCCAAAATAATTGATTACAAGAGTGTCTACTCCTGTGAGCAGTATACAGCTGGAGGACTGAATGCAATGGGAGGTGACTTCTTACCTTTCTTTTTTCTGTTTGTCATGTTTCTTGGTCAGGTGTACTCGTGTGTTACTTCCACATCTTAGAATTCTAATCCTGGTGTTTTCCACAGATATATTAATGTCCCAGTTAATGCAACATGTTTTTTAATTATACTTTCAATTCATTGACTTCACTGCGAGAAAAAATTCTAAGGGAGAAATGTAGTGTAAGAGTAGCAGTCAGAGAGGGTTGTAGGCTGAGAGAAAGGGATTGATGAGAAGAAAGAAAAAATAGTCGTTTTTTCCCATCATGGGTAGTGTTAGATTCACAGTTGTTTTTTAAAAAAATAAAACTTACCTTGCTCCTTTAAAAGCAGTTGGGTTTCAGTGTGGGTAAATGAAGTATTTCATTAAGCTGCTGCACAAGCCCTTTCCAGAATATTGCCTAGCAGTTTTATATCCAAACTGATTTTTCGAGCTCTCTGTGTAGGAAGGAAGTTAATTGTATATCTACTCTGGCATTTTGGCAAATTGCTCCCATGAGTCCAAAACAGCTTATCAGAAACAGAACTCCCTCACCTCAGTTATTACTTAATCTGTGTCACAAACATAAAAAAATAACTAATATGGGCACACTGAGAATAAGAGGAGGAGGGTTCATTCCTGTGCGATACAAGGCATTCCCATGCAAGTGTCTTCCCTCCAGGGAATGAGTTTGCAAAGGAGCACCCCACAGAAATGAATCCCAAATATCTCGCTAGCAGACCTCCTCACAACCAATTCCCTAAGTCCCATTGCCATGGAAACTACCCAGACGTACATCCAGGAATAGTACAGTCTCTGCAGAAGGGCTCTGCTAGCTGTGGGTCCCAGTGTGCTTTCAGTCATCATCTGACATGGCTGGCCACCTGCAGTAGAGCAATGTCTGTTGGTAGGCCCAGGTGGTTCCCGTGTCAATGGGGCCTTGGAAATGGGCTGTGAGAAAGCTAGGGGGTCAGAGTGTGGATTCTGCAGGACATTTCTTTACAAGCAAAGGGGCACAATGATAAAGGAGTACCCTGCACCCCATAGGATTGAATTCTCCTCTCACCAGTTGGTGAATGGAGGATTAAGTCTTGCTTGGCTGTGCTTGGAATAAATTCACATTTCGGTTCTCTCCCCCCCCCCCCCAATGTTCCACAGCATACATACTGGATTAAAAATATCTCTCCTCTATGCATTCAGCATTTTGATTTACACTTAGAAAGTGTCTAAAAGCTATGTAGTGTATCCCACTACCCAAAGGATAAGTCTTTACAGTCAAACTACATAATCTAGCCTACTATGCCCTCATAAATTTTATGTTGCTGCAAGTCTAAGACACAGTTCAACTGAAGTTTGCAAATTTATATATGCTTACTTTGGAGGAAGAGGGACGCGGGTGGCACTGTGGGTAAAAGCCTCAGTGCCTAGGGCTTGCCGATCGAAAGGTCGGCGGTTCCAATCCCCGCAGCGGGGTGCGCTCCCGTTGCTCGGTCCCAGCGCCTGCCAACCTAGCAGTTCGAAAGCACCCCCGGGTGCAAGTAGATAAATAGGGACCGCTTACTGGTGGGAAGGTAAACGGCGTTTCCGTGTGCTGCGCTGGCTCGCCAGATGCAGCTTGTCACGCTGGCCACGTGACCCGGAAGTGTCTGCGGACAGCGCTGGCTCCCGGCCTATAGAATGAGATGAGCGCACAACCCTAGAGTCTGTCAAGACTGGCCCGTACGGGCAGGGGTACCTTTACCTTTACCTTTACTTTGGAGGAAATCTCATTGAGGTCAGTAAGGTTTGCTTCCAATAAGACATGCACAGGATTGGACTGTATTTGATTGAAAGGTCCCCTAGCTGACTCCAATGTTGGTTGTTTACTCCTTGCAAAATACGGTGTTAATAAAGAGAAATTTCTAGACATAGATCATGCAGCACTTAAATTACAGGCTCCAACCACTTTAACTATCCAATTCTGAAATTTGAGTTTCTTAAAACAAAGAAAAATATCATTGTGTGGGTAGTGTCTCTGCCTGTAAAGACAAAGCTGAAGTCACCAGGCTGTTCTATACCTGTAGATGTTTCCAGGACATAAAAACAACAACAATCAGATCAGAATGCAGTCAAGAGTTAAGCATGTGTATGCGCACGCACATACACATGAAAAGATTATACAGTGGACACTCGGGTTGCGAATGTGATCCATGTGGGATGCACGTTCACAACCCGGAGTGTTCGCAACCCATGTCTGTGCACACGCGGGTTGGGATTCGGCGCTTCTGCGCATGTGCAAAGCATAATTTAGTGCTTCTGCACATGCGCGACTGCCGAAACCCGGAAGTAACCCATTCCAGTACTTCCGGGTTTCGGCAGTCCGCAACCTGAAAAAATGCAACCTGAAGCGGATGCAACATGAGGTATGGCTGTATATGAAAAGCAGGAATACTCTGACCATGCCAACAAACACATGCACATACCTGAGGAATCTTGTTGTGACCAAAGGTGATGGAAGATTCAGTCTTCTGAAGTGAGCCCCCACTTACAATGATAGTACATCTTTCCCCTTATGTGTCTGTAATTAAGTACATTCCTGCGCAGTAGGTCCAGCAGGTTGTTCCGTGTGCCCCTTCAATCAAACAGATTGTCATAGATCTGGCACTTCAGAGGAACATTGAGAAAGATCTTGAGATTCTAACTGATCTCATTAATGCCAAAAATTCAACGGAGGATGTGCTGATATTTTTAAACAATATGATGCTATTAAATTAAGATGAAAAACTTCTCTCAGAGATGATGTCATAAATTTGCCAGTTAGAGATGGGGTGGTTCTGGCTGGGATGGCTGGATCTGTCTCTCCCCGCAACACCCCCAACCCCACATTGTACTATTATGATTGGAGGTGGGTTAAGGGAACTAAGGCTGCATTGATATGGGGGTTATTGAAGCAAAACAGGTATTGCCAGTTCCTGGCCCACCGTGAATAGTCCCCAGAGAATATGTAGTGATGACACACAACTCTCTCTCTCTCTCTTTTCCATCGGTACCAGGAGAGGCTTGTAAAGTACTTGACTGGTGTCCGGAGTCTTGATGTGGGCCCAGACAATGAAATGAAATCAAGGCAAGATGGAGTTGTTCTGGGTGTATGGTTCCTGAGTTTGGGAGATGGACAAACAATCTGTCCTGTATAGTGTTCCACTCTCCTTAAAGGAGCAGGTTCGTAATCACTTGGGATCAGGAGTCAGTGGCTTGAAGTGCTTATGCCAAGCTTCAGCTGGTGCACAACTATTGTCTTTAATGGACAGGGATAGCTTGGCTACCGTCACTCAGACTCTGGTAACCTCCAATTGTGCTATTGCCCAAGAAATAAGAAAACCCCACTGTATTATGTAGAAGCACTCTGGGTCCTCCATCCTGCTGGAGACCTGCAATTTATGTGATATTTGTCTTGTAAAAGAGCATGGATATTAAGGATGTGTGCAGTGAATTCAGACAAATACCAAATTCATCCTGAGCAAAAGCAGGGTGCCTTGAGGGAGGCAGAAGGGTGGATTCTGGATTTCCCCAAGTTGACATGGGATCTGTGTGAGGCTTCCCAAGAAACAGAAAGGAATGTGCCTTCCCGTTTCCTCAGCACCTCTTGTTAGAGATACTAGAGTGGAATTCCCTGCTCTGGATCTTGTGCACCATAGAAGTGAATAAGCGCCACCACAAGAATGAATTCCAAAAAGTTTTACTGCAAAAATGTTTTAAACTAGTTACAAAATAAAATGTTACAAAATGCAAAGTAACACATTTCTCTAAACAAACTAGCAATAAGTTCCAGTCTTTTTAAAGTCCTTGACATTGTCCAAAAACATTCTCTCTTTGGTCCCAGAGAAAGGTCCTATCTTAGTTGCACATTTTTCTAACCATAAATTCAATTCCCTGAATATATGGAGTTTTCTAAAACATTGGCTTATGGGCAAACTTCACTGGAAAATTCAGAGAACTGAATTTGTGGTTAAGTTTGTATATTGAAAGTGTGAATTTGATAGATTCAGTTTAAAATGAGAGTTGAGGTGAAATTCTCACCCATTGTTATTGGTAGTAGCAAGGGATGAGGCCTACACCAGTGTTTAGAAAAGGAACCTAGTCAATAAAGTCCACACAATATTAGAATGCCATGTTGATTTCTGCATAGATTATAACTCAGTTGATATTAGGTTGAATGTAGCCAAACTATGAATATGAAAAATGATGGATGAAAGAAACTCAATGTAAGCTACAGGAGGCAGAGGGTAATGTATGTGATAGAAGTACTGTTTGCTGGTTACTGAAATGTGTGTGACGCTTTATTTAAAGGAAACCATTCTCATACCGAAGACCACAAAATCCCATTTTCACAGAACAACTCAGGAGAAAACTTTAGAAGATTTCCCAAAATTTAAGAGTTTCCACAAAGCAGTCTTGATTTCTTTGTTTCTCATGCTGTAGATGAATGGATTCAATGTGGGAGGAATTATGGTGTACATCACAGACACAACTATATCTAGATCAGAAGAAGAATCACTAGGAGGCCTTGCATAGGCAAACAACCCACTTAAAAGAAACACAGAGACAACAGTGAGGTGAGGAAGACAAGTGGAGAGGGCTTTTTTCTTTCCATGAACAGAGGGGATTTTTAGCACTGTAGAAAAGATCTGCATATATGTTAAGATGATGAAAACAAAACAACCTAGTGCTATACCAAAGCTTAGCACAAGTAGCCCAACTTCAACCAGGTAGAAGTTAGAGCAGGAGAGCTTCAGTAGTGGTGGGATTTCACAGAAGAACTGATTAACAGCATTAGAACAGAAGGTATTTGCAAAAGTGCTCCCAGTATGTAACACAGCATATAAAACACAAATAGTCCACACAATCACTACCATACGAATACAGGCTGCTTTGTGCATTATTGACTCATATTGTAATGGGTTGCAAATAGCAACATAGCGATCATGTGCCATTATAGTTAGGAGAGCAAAATCTGATGTTCCAAATAACATAAAAAAGAAAACTTGAGCAACACATCCAAAATAAGAAATAAACCTGCTGTTTAGGAGGGAAAGAACTATTGATTTGGGTACCATGACGGAAATTGTTCCAATGTCCAGCATAGCCAAATTCAGTAGAAAGAAGTACATGGGTGTGTGAAGGTGGTGATCAAGGACAATTGCAACAACAACGAGGAGATTCCCTATGATTGCTATAATGTACAATGCTAGGAACACAAAGAAGTGCAAGATCTGCAGTTCTCGAATGTCTGAGAATCCCAGCAGCAGAAATGTAGACATGGAGGTAAGATTGTGCATTTTTTTCACTGGGCATATTCACATATTACCTGTACCAGAATAAGATAGAAAGAAATATTGAGTAAGCAGTTTAATTTAAGCTGGACTCCTTCTGTGTAATAATCAAATGAAGCTGATATTTCTTTGCTGAAATATGAAATGAAGACATATGATGACAGGCTGTCTGACCCCTCTGTATTGTCATGAGAGAATCCCTGTCCACTCATTGAGCTTCTATATCTGTTGCAAATGTGTTCAGAGCAAGGTCTGATTATTTCCATAATCTCTTCTCCTGACATCTATGCATTCAGAGGGAGCTCAGAAAGAGAAGTCAACATGCAGGCACATCTATGTCCTAGGAGTTCACCACCAAGCTATAGGTCTCAATGATTCAGGGTTCTCAATTAAACTGCTAGATTATTTGCACACAATATTCACATATAGCCTTCCTTTTGGGGGTTTGGCTGGACGTGGAAGGAAATATGAAACTTAATGCAGCCTGAGAAGGCACGGTAGATCAACTATTTTCATTGGTGATGCAGATACAGGTGCCTTTCCTCTCATCCTTCCCACAAACTGTGTGAACACATTTGCCCCAGTTCCTTTGCCCACCCCAGAAAGGTCACCAAACAGCAGGTCCTTTTCACAGTTAGCAGGCTTCACCTCCCCTCCAATAAACAAGGAACTGCTACTCAATATTCTGTCAGGTCCCATTAGAAGATGGAGGACTCTCAGATGAATGCAGCACCATTCTATCATAGCCCCACATAAACATATCTGAAGACTAGTACAGGGGATCACTATATCACTGTACACACAATTAATAGCGTACAAGCCACCATCCAATTGTCGGAGGGACTGCTCTCCAGATTTGGGTAGTGTTTACTTCTTAGCTTTTTCATCTCCCGAAGAAATCATGCAAGGCGGCAGAGGTTTAGGATCGGAGTTTTCCTTCTCTTTCCTAAATGGGCTACCTTCCCAGTTTGGCAAGCCCCATCTGTCCCACTTCCCTCTACAGCACCTCCAGAAACCACCTTCTTGACCACTGGACCCACCATTGGTCTTGTTTGCTCAATCCGCCAGATTAAGATCCACTACATCTTTGCATGTGGGGGAAGTCCTTAATTCACCAAGAGTTTGAGACCCATTGGCTACCCACAGCTGGTTTAGCTGGCCAGGCAAAGCTGTTCCCAGTTTGTGGCCACTGTCACATGCTGACAGCTCCTAGGAGCCACAGGTGAGAGCTGAGTGCAGGTTGGGGACCAAAGGTAAACAAGCTACCCCAGAAGGAGCATGACACATCCCCCACCAGAGGTACTGCCCCTCCCCTAACACCTCATGCACCCCATTAGTATTTAGCTGCCTTAGTATTTAAGAAATAATTATGGTACTGTCTTACCCAATGTTAGACCCTTGGTGAGGAGGTGACTTGCTTGAAGATAAGAAAAATAGCTGCTAATTGGGAGAGTGAGCAAACACTATCAGAGGATAAACCAAGTGTGTGTCATGTGATCGTGTTGTGGTGCCTAAACTAGCCTTTGGTGTGGCATAAGATGCTGCCTTGTTCTTGGTCTTTAAGTAGGGAATTGAGTGGGGTAGACAGTGCCGACTTACATGTTGCCGCAGCCAGAAAAATGCCTTGGATCAGCCCCAACTGACCTTCTGGTCCTCCTACTAGCCTACTCTGGATTTGTGTTCTGTTGCAGTCAGCTTATGCAAACAATTAATTTATCACATCAGTGCCTACTCATGGGAGAAGTATAATGGTAGGAGGCTGAATTGGTTGCAAGACCACTTTTTCCCTAATTGCTTGCAATTTCATTATTTTTCTTTTCTCAGATTTGTCAGTTAAGTGTACAAAGATGCTTACATGTTACTTCCACATCTTGGAAGTCTCACTTTGATGTTTCCCACAGACATACTGCTGCCCCCGCTCCCCAGTTAATGCATACTGCTTGTATTATTACACTTTAATGAAATTGACTTCAGTGAATGTGAAATTTCAAAGGGAATGTTGTTGTGTAAGAGAGAAATGTAGGTGGTGTGCCAATGAATAAAGAGGGCGGAAATGTCAGACTTTTATCACTGTAGATAATATTAAATTTACATTTTTTAAAATTAAAATAAAACTTACCTAGCCCCTTTAAGAGCAGTTGGCTCTCAATGTGGGTAAATGGCATTTTTTTGGGGGGGGGTAGCTGTTTTAGGTTATGACTGGTCATGCATCCCTTGGGTCATCTGAGAGTCTTTCATCTGCTTTTCAGATTTGACTGAATATTGTGTAGCAGCTCCTTTCTAAACTGGCTTTTTAAAGATGCTCATGTAGAAAGGAGGTTAATTGGATGTGCACTTTGGTACTTTGATAAATTGCTCCCAAGTGTCCAAACAATAACTTTCATAACAATAATTTTCACCCTCATTATTGCTTCTTCTGATTTTGTCAGAAATATAATCAAATAAATATTACATGCACATTTTGTCGGAATTGGCAATGGCAGAGAATTTTGTTTTTTTTAAAAAAAATAATTTTTATTAACCGGCCAATCACATCAAATTAAATCACATCACATAAATTCCGAATTACAAAGCTGAAATTTAAATTTTGTTGGGGGGACCCATTTTTCAAGATCCGAAGGGGGATTCTGATCATCTTCTTGCTACTGCATTAATGTCCAAATCAGACCAAATCAGTCCAAACAGAGTTCATAGTTCTATCCAGTCTTATCTTGCTGTTTCCACATCACATCTTGTTCATATATTTTCTCTTTTTTCTTTATGATCTCTTCTGATAGTCTCCTTAAGCTGATAAACACCAATAATAATAATCCTGTGTGAATTTTTCCGTTCTTCCAATCCTCAAATCGAGATGGTTTCCATATATCATCGCCTTCATAGATAACATCGCTCTTTCCATCATTAATTACAGATCTGTCGCTCCTAAATCCCTCTGAGGAGTTTCAACCCACGATATAAAAGCAGCTCTATTTCTCTGTTTCTCCTCTCAGACTTAAGTCCTCCGACAGAGCTTCCCAATATGGCGACGGCATTTTTAACTGTGTCATTTCAGAGCTCTTATACATTCCACGCTCTTCTTAAAACATGCTCTGGTTCAAAAGTTTATCTCCACACAGTATTAAATCCACAGCTTAAGTCCTTAAAACGACATTTCTGACTTGTGAGGGGAGGGGATTCTTATTTAATCACATAAGGAAAGAAAGGACAGTTTTCCCCCCTCCCCCATCAGTCATTTGCCATACCGTGTCTTAGCGTATCTTCTCATGATTTATTCTTGTCTTGTTTTATCAGAGATCTCTTCTGTTAGCAGTCTTTACTCCCCCTTCTTCCTTGAAAAATGTGCAATTAGTTTCATCCAAATTGTTTCTTTTGAAGTTCTTGCAGCTAGTGGTGCGAATCAGAGATGGCGTCCAGGAGTGCCGGAATCCCACAGGAGGGCTTTGTGCCTAGTGCCCACACCCCCACAAATTCGGGGGTGGTGTAGGGCACAGCAGGCAAGGGCAGTCCCCCCACCTTCCTGGGGGGTAGAGAGGCTAATTACTCCCATCATAGCCTCGTGTGGGTCGGAGAGATGTTATTGTCAGCCATCTTCTGATGCGCCCCCTAGTGGCCCCCTGCAATGGCAGAGAATTTTGGTTCACTCTACATTTTGGAGTGAGCTTAAACATTTTGTCCTCTGGGTCCCATGTGCGGATTGCAACAGAGATATGGAGATGAATCTGTTTTGCATATTTATGTATTTAAAAGCTGATGCAGAGTCTGCCTTATTTCTTTTTAAATGTTCAAAGCAGCTAGTAATGTGACTGTCATGTGGGTAAAAAAGTCATATAAAGTGCTTCCAAGGACCACATGTCATAACAAAGAGTTATAGATACAGATATCAATGTAGGCAGCCATCTTGCTTCCTGGGAACATTTTAAAAACTATGCAGTTGTGAACTTCCCATAGTGATGTGTCACAAGAAGAAGAGTTTGGATTTGATATCCCGCCTTTCACTCCCCTTCAGGAGTCTCAAAGCGGCTAACATTCTCCTTTCCCTTCCTCCCCCGCAACAAACACTCTGTGAGGTGAGTGGGGCTGAGAGACTTCAAAGAAGTGTGACTGGCCCAAGGTCACCCAGCAGCTGCATGTGGAGGAGCGGAGACGCGAACCCGGTTACCCAGATTACGTGACTACCGCTCTTAACCACTACACCACACTGGCTCTCTTCCTGGGAACATTTTAAAAACTATACAGTTGTGAACTTCCCATAGTGATGTGTCACAAGTCCGCTCACCTTTCACAGTGGGCGGCGTTGCAGCTGGGCAGTCGGGTCACAACAATATGCCAGCTTAGGGGGCAGAGAGTTGCTGCCTTCACCCTGCGTCATGGCAGCTGTGTTGTTGTTGCTGGGGTTCTGCCCTTGTTGGACAGCCCCAGCCAATCAGAACTCTGTGTGAGTGTGGCCACGGGCACATTTAACCATGGCACAGCCAGCTGGCACCCTCTGCCATTGCTGGCAGGTCAGAAAGCTCCATAAATAGAAAGGAATGTGCATTCCCTCAGCACCTCTTGTTAGAGATATTAGAATGGATCCCTGCTCTGGATCTTGTGCACCATAGAAGTGAATAAACTCCACCACAAGAATGAATTCCAAAAAGTTTTACTGCAAAAATGTTTTAAACTAGTTACAAAATAAAATGTTACAAAATGCAAAGTAACAAATTTCTCTAAGCAAAGTAGCAATAAGTTCCAGTCTTTTTAAACTCCTTGACATTGTCCAAAAACATTTTCTCTTTGGTCCCAGAGAAAGGTCCTATCTCAGTTGCACATTTTTCTAACCATAAATTCAATTTTCAATTTTTGGAGCAATTCACTGTTAAAAAAAATATTCTCATGACATTTCCTCAGCATTTTAGTGTGCATATCTTCTAATAAATACATTTATGTGCAGTTTTTACTAATGCACACATTTTTAAAGCATTTTTTGTGTTAGGTTCACTAATATATCCATTTATTTACATAAA